TATATAGTATGTGATTGCTCACCAACTGCGTAATCCCAGACCTTCTGTAGGGACCCAATCCCATGCTCCGCAACCACCCGTCTCCTGCCATATTGCAGGGACCAGTTTCTCTTTCAACAAAAGGAGTATCCTTGACAATGACTTCCCTGAGTTCAAGTTCTCAACTGTTCCAAGTCCAGAGAAGAATGAAAGACCCAACAACTGTTTTCTGCATTACCCTGAGGCTTGGGCCAGCCTCCACACAAAAGTGCATTCTTTGACACTATTTTGCTAGGCATTGTAGCCCCTTATTAGTTCAAAACTCTCAATTCCAAAATAGGATCTCGGCTTTTTCTTGGCAAAGTAAAGGCTCGTTGAAGCAGTCATGTAAAAATATGCCACGTACCTCTGAAAGTGAATTAAACCTCTACCTGTGGAGCAAAGGGTGGGGTGCTCCATCCTGGAGATGCCAAGTTCTCCCCTTTTCTCACCATCAGCCTTTAATTAGGAGTGGCCCCAAACTTACCCAGAGCATCTCTTTAAACACAAAAGGCAATGAGGTGGAATATATTCTGAGTTTTTCTGAAATCAGAAAAGCCAAGCTAGACTTGTCCTCTGCTCACCCCAGGTGAGAGAAGCAAGATTTCATCCTCTTTATAAATAGGGCATCAGACACGTCAGCCAGGAGCCCTAGCTGATTAACCCACAGAAGAGCCTGAACAGGACTGAGCTTGCCACACGCCAGTTTTTGCCACTGTGGGAAATCACAGGTGACTGTGACCACCCTGCCGGGCCCAGTGTTCCTGAAGACTCTTCAGAGCTGTGGCTGCCCCCAAGGTCCCTGACAGCCAGTCAAAGCCTCTGCACAAGGAGAGGGTGTTAAGAACTCCTGTCACCTAGGCAGGGTGGGAGGGGGCAAGCTGGAGAGAGAGGAAGTACTGAGACCAGCCCAGTTGACCTCAACTCAAGGAGACCTTCAAGATCTGATAGTTTGTGGTTCTGCAAAATCAGAACCCAAACTGCAGCCCCCCTGTCCCCGTGTCTTTGTCCCCCTTGCGGTTCTCCTGGGCTGAAATCCCCTTTCCTCCCATCTTCTTTCTTAAAACCCACCCGCCCTTCAAGGCCAGTGGGAACCCCTGGACTCACACTTCCTTGGGGAGGAGACCGTGCTGGGCAGTCCCCACACCCCCACAGCCCTGGTGCAGTGGCAGGAGGTCAGTCTGGTGGTTCGGAAAATGTATTTGAAACCAGATAGAGCCCAGTTTGCATTCCTAGCTCTGCCCCTTGTGAGCTCTGGCATATCAACAGTGTCAGGACGAGAATTAGACAGGTGAGGTGCCAACGGCACAAGATTTAAGGTGGCGCTCCCTCTCAGGTGCCCACTCTGCACTTGCATGACCGGCAGAGTGAGTGCCACCTTAAATTTTGCACCACAGTGCCTCACTAGGGCGTCAGGTTACTTAGTTTAGTATCTCAATTTCTTCATAAGCAAAAATGGAGATAATAATTGTTCCTTCATGGAATTATTTCATGGATCTAGTGCAACAGTACATGAAGCCCCTGACCTGTACTGAGTGCCCATAATTTTAAAATAATTCTAAAATAATTTTCTTGTATTACTATTATGAGATTGCTAGTTACTTTATAATTAGTACCATGAATAACAATCAAATTGCATCTACTTAAAGCTCAATCCAGGCTCACTGAGCAGTGGTGGAGCCCTGAGCCCTTTCCCAAACTGAGGTGGCTCTTCTGGTTAAAAAAAGGAAAAAAAGAAAAGCAGCGACACTGAGTAGATGTTTTTCTTGAAATTATTGTTGGATGTTGTGCCTTAAAACACGTCCAGCTCCACTGAATGATGTTTTCAGGCTCAGTTCTTAGTATTAAGGGGTGCTCTACTGAAAAACGTGCTGGCCTCAGGGAAAAAGGTCAGGGGGTCAGAGGAGAGGGCATGACAGCCAGGCGACCTCGAGCTTTGCTCCTGAACCCCTCTGAGGTGATCGCTGTGAGGGTGCTGTTGCAGGAAGGGGCTGAATTTTAATTCTGGCTGAACTCACGTCTACGTAGCTCTCCTCCCAAGCCAAAGGCAGCAGATATCTGCTGGGTTCAAAACGATGTTTCTTATATAGTGCCCCCTCCTCCTTTTTAGATTGACTGCATTTTGCCTCCCTATTTGCTCATCCCTGGTCCCTTTGGTCTTCGTGCCAAAGAGGACAACAGCTGCAGCCCTTGCTCTAAATTGCAAGTCTCTGATGACAGCCACAGTCTTGGTGCGGACACACCCTGGTCCTGGGATGAGCCCCAGCTGGCAGGAATCCTGCCCTCCTCTGAGCACCCTTAAATTCTCTACCTGGCCTTGAAGCTGCTCACCCATCAGCTCCCATCAACGGACTCCAATCTATGCTGGGACCTGGACTGGATGCTGGGATCAGGAAGGCAGGCAAAACCTGGCCCTCCCAGAGCCCACCATCCACTGGGAGGAGACAGACGCTGAAAAAAGGACTGTAGGTGGTATGTCTGAGGGCAGCAGTGGGAGGGACTGAGACGCACCAGCTCTGTAGTTGGATGCATCTGGATTCAAATTTTAGCTCTGCCACATACTGGCTTTGTGATGTTGGCAAGTTACCCAACCTCTCTGAGCATCAGTTTCCAGATCTGTAAAACCACCAGCGACCTCACAGCCCTCACAGCCCTCACAGCCCTCACAGCCATGAAGGTGGGATGAGATAATGTACGTGAGCACTCAGCTTCGCAACTACAAGAGGGGTTCTCAAACTTTACTGCCCAGTGGAGTCACCTGGGCAGCTCTGAAAAGTCCTGATGCCCAGGCTGCACCCCAGACACAGTCAAATCTGAGACACCAAGGATGTGGCCTGGGCATGCGTGTTTCTACAGACTCCCCACAGAATGTGGAACCACATTTGGGCACCAGTGGGTTGATCGTAGTGAGCCTGTCATACGTGTTGGCCACTGTTGATGGTCCTGGGGTGGAGGTCCGAGTTGTAGAGGCAGCTGGTTCTGCTCCTGAAAGAGTGTGCTTGTTGCAGATTCTCTCCATGAGATGTTCACCAGGGCAGTCAGTCCCCGGTTTGGATCTCAGATACCATAGGACCCCAGGCAAGATGTTTATCCATCCTGTGTCTTCACGCTGTCTTTCTTATAACAAAATCGAAAAGGGGAAACGGTAGAATAATAATCTAAGGCCATTGTAAATCATTTTTGGAGCAGAAACAATTTTAGACTCGTGAGTATATGTTTATAGAATTAATCATCACCTTCCTTCTTTACAAAAAGAAGTGACTTTGCTCTATAATTTCTGTGCCTTCCCCAGGCCACTACAGCAGATGGAGTTAACCTCACCACTGAGGCTGTCTACAAAAAAGGCCAGGATTATAGGTTTGTGTGCTACGACCAGGGCCGAGCCTGCCAGAGCTACCGTGTGCGGTTCCTCTGTGGGAAACCTGGTAAGCAGCTCCTTGCTGGGGACAGAAATGCAACTGTGGCTCTGTTCCTTGAGCTGGCAGCCGTGCATTGTGAGTTTGAATGGCTGGACCGGCTGCC